GGCGGCGCGCGCTCCGTCAGCGCCGCGGCGCCGCGCTCGGCGAGCGCCTGGCGCAGGCCGATGCAGTAGCGGCGCAGCAGGTCTGACGGTGTGTAGCCCCGTGCGCCGCAGGCGCCCAGGAAGAGCGCCACGTCTGACGCGTCGGCCGGCCGCCGCCGCTTCAGCTCCGGCGGGCCCGACTGCCGCTGTATCCCCGCACGCGCGCGGCCGGCGCCGACGCCGCCGACGCCGCTCGGCGCGTACGGGCCGGCGTCCCGCTCAGCACTCTGGCCGTCCTCCTCCTGCTGCTGCTGCTCCTGCGCCGAGAGCGCCACGAGGCGCGCCTCCGCCGCGGCGAGCGTGCTGTGCTCCAGGGGTGCCCCGAGCCTGCGCGCGTGCGGCGGGGCCGGGGCAGGAAAGCGGGTGATCAAGGGCGAGCACTACACGCGTCGAGGCGGGCGCATGTGGAAGCAGGAGGCGCCAGCCGTGCCCGCTTGTCAGCAACACATGCTTATGCGCTTAGCTCCATAATCAGCACCCAGGCGATCATGCGGCTACGGGAGGGAAGGGCGTGTGTGCCCGCCCGTCCCGCTTTGTCCTGCCAGAGACCGTCGTGCGCAGCTGCGCGCGCGACCCAAATCCGCGTTCGACGCACCTGGCAAGCGCCGACGCGAAGGAGCACACCCCCGGCCCGTCAAGCGCCCCCGCCTCCCGCTCCAGCCGCGCCGCCGCGGCCCGCAGCCGGTCCGGCGGCGGCGGCGCGCGCCACTTGGCCAGCACGAACAGGACCTGGCTGAGCTGCGTGGCGTCGAGGCTGCCCCATTCGCGGCCCAGCGCGGGCATGAGGGCCGCCGTGAAGGAGCTGCTTGGCTGGTAGCCTGCGCGGTTTTTAGGGGGGGGGTTTGGGGCTGTTGTCCGCAGGCGTGGGAGAGAAGTCCCGCGAGCCGCACGTCGGGGAATGGATGCGGATTGGCAGGGGCGGACGACACCGCTGACTAGGCAGGGCCCCGCCGGCTGGTCCGCTGCAAAGGAAGAACCAAGCACGCCGGGGCGAGCTCCCGCGCCGCAACCGCGCGTGCTCTGGCGCTGTGTCACCCCTTTGCAAAAGTTGTGACGAATGGCGGCTGGTTCTACAACCCACCTAGCTTCCACAGAGCCCACGTAGTGTTTGCCAGCGCCAGCGCCGGCGCGTCCCCCCACAGCCTGTCCATGCTGCGCACGCCCCACGCCACGACGCCGTCGGCGCGCGCGAGCCGCAGCCGCGCGCACGCCCACAGCACGTTGGACACGGCCTGGGGGGACGGGGGCGCGGGGTGCGACGCGGCAGCTGCCAGCAGGTCCCGCAGCCGCGCCGGCCGCAGGCGCAGCGCCCCTGATGCCCAGGCCACCACCGCCAACGCAGGCAGCGGCGCCGCACCAGCCGCCGCCCCTTGCGCAACCGCCACGCCGCCGCCGCCGGCGCCGTCGACGCCGCCGGTCGAGCCCCCTCCCCCGCCGGCGCCGTCGATGCTGCCGGCCCCGCCGCCGCCGCGCTCTTCGGCGCCGAGCAGCATGTCTGTTGTGACATCCAGCAGCCGCCGCGCCGCCGGGCCCGCGTGCTGCAGCTTGGCGAGTGCCCAGACTGTGCGGAGCGCGTCCCCGCGCCCCATCTCCCCCGCCGCCGCGAGCCGGCACGCCTCCCCCGCCACTGCCGCCGGCGCGAGCGGCGGCGCGTGCCGCAGGCGAGCGAGGCGCACGGCGGCGGCGGCGAGCTCGCGGGATGACATCACCGGCGTGCTGCTCGCGATCTGGAGGCCCGCTGACGTCAGCATGCCCTGGGGGCGGATCCCCAGGACCCCCAGGGCCTCAAGCAGCAGCAGCAGCTGCGGCGGCGGCAGGAAGCGCGCTCGGTGCTGCAGCGACGCGAGGCATGCGCGTGCGACGCCGACCCAGGGCGCCTGCCCCTGCTGCTGCTGCTGCTGCTGCTGCTGCGGGGGGCCAGCCTGCACGCTGCTGCGCCGCCCCTCCGTTGCGGCCACAAGCAGAAGCTCTGGCAGCCGCTGCGCCCGCAGCCGCGACCCCTCCGCGCTGCGCGCTGCCAGGGCCGCAAACGCGTCGCGCTGCAGGTCGCCCCCTGCATCCGCGGCAAGCGCCAAATCGACCAGCTGCTGCACGGGCGCCTCCACCAGCTGCGGCGGCGCGAGGCACGCGCCCCGCAGCGCCGACAGGTCCGTTTCCCATCCGTCCGGGCGCGCGCGGGCCAGCGC